AATTTTTGGAATTAGAATAACACTGGCCTCATAAAAAGAGCTTGGAAGTGTTCCTTCCTCTTGGATTTTTTGGAATAGTTTGAAGAGGATAGGTGTTAGTTCTTCTTTGAATGTTCAGTAAAACTTCCCTGTGAAGCCATCCGGATGAGGGCTTTTGTAGGCTGGGAGTTTAGTTTTTTTTTACTGCTTCAATTTCTTCAGTTGTTATTGGGCTATTCAGGTTTTCTCTTTCTTTCTGATTCAGTTTTGGAAGATTGTACATTTCAAGAGTTTGTCCATTTCATACACATTGTCTAGCTTGTTGGCATATACTTGTTCATATTAGTTTTTTTATAGTCCTTTGTATTTCTGTGGCGTCAGTGGTTACTTCACTACTTTGGTTTCTGATTTTATTTATTTGGTTCCTATCTCTGTTTCTTAATGAGTCTGGCTAAAGGTAGAGCTTTGAGCTGATCTTGAAACTATATATCGGACAAATGATTACCAATTTCTTCTCTAAATTTATTATTTTAGTTTGACCATAAAATGTTTATTACCATTAATTTCAAACTAGGCTGCAGGACACATATATCTTTAAATTTGCTTTCTAAAAATAATTTTGGAATTCCCTGTTTGGGCAAAGTAAAATGTAAGAATTCATTGGAAATTTCCCTCTTCTTCCCTCTCTTTCCTCTTTCTCTTTCTCACTGCCTTTGTTTAAGATACATTCATATTGCCCTAACCAATTTGGTTTAGCGGATAGAGCTATTCTGGTCCATGGCACATGCCTGGGTTGCGGGCCCGGTCCGATGTGCAGGAGGAAGCCAGTCAATGATTCCCTCTCATCATTGATGTTTCTATCTCTCTCTTCCTCTCTGAAATCAATAAAAAATGTATATATATTTAAAAAATACATTCACGCCCTGGCCGGCTTAGCTCAGTGGATAGAGTGTCAGCCTGCGGACTGAAGGGTCCCAGGTTCAATTCCGGCCGAGGGCACATGCCTGGGTTGTGGGCTCCATCCCCAGTAGGGAGTGTGCAGGAGGCAGCCAATCAATGATTCTCTCTCATCATTGATGTTTCTATCTCTCTTTCCTTCTCCCTTCCTCTCTGAAATCAATAAAGAAATACATTTAAAAAAATACATTCATATTTTTATAGGAAGTCTATATAAGAAATGGGTAAGAATATAGATTATTAATCACACTGAGTTAGTCATTACAAATGCAATATATTAAAATCATTGTAAGGCTAATTATTAATTATTGAGTGTTCTGATGGATTGAACTTGAATACATTTCTTTTTCTTTTGACTACATCTTTGATGTAGATCTCAGGAAGTTCTTAGTTCTTTTTGATAATGAAAAACTGTTACCCTTTAAAATAGGACAGTGTTTTAAATCCTGATTAACTTAATAACTAAATGATAATAAAATCCTTAGAATATAGTTTTAACATTTTTTGTGTGTGTATGCAGTTTGAATATGTATATTGTGTACAGGTTGACCTTAATATTTCTTGACTTTTTAGAGCTCAAATTATAAATTATTTCGAAAATACTTTGTTTAAAGGGTAAATACCATTTATTTTGAATACTGTAAAAACATAACAGGTTGTTATGAAAAATAAACTGGATTTTTCATTCTATTTTTGTTTAGTAACTCTATTTTAAAATACTTTAGTAAGCTTTTAAGGATATTCTGGAAAGTGAAATTTTCTCATAACCGAATGCTAAGTATGTTTTTGGTTCAACTTTGAAACGACCATACATTTAACATAGTGTATACCTGGTAGTCTAGTTTGATACATTTTTGTTTAATAAATATATGATTTAAAAGTTCTGGTACCTCGCATGGAACATAGTGAACTTACCAGGTTCCTGTCACTACTATAGCATTTACCACATTTTATTATGTCTTCTCCCCTTCCTGTGATGTTGGTGCTTGCTCATTAGCTTTATTATTCTTCACTAGAGGCCCGATGCATGAAATTCGTACAACGGGCTTGGCCCCACACCGCTGCCTCTGCCTCAGTCCCTGCCCGCAGCAGCTTCATTCGGAAGGTCGTCCAGAAGGACATCCAGTCTAATTAGCATATTACACTTTTATTTTAGAGATAGTGTTTGAAATAAAGTATTTTTTCAGCAAACTTGTTGAAAGAGTAAAAAGTATATACAGTTGCATTGTTTAGTCTCTATTATTTAAGTATAATGCACTTTACTAATCACATGTTAATTTCAGTATCAGTATACTTGGAGAGTCTGGAGACTCCTTAATGAAACCATTAAGTTGAAGTTGTCTGCCATCAGTTGAATAGGCTTACAGACAAAATTTGAATCCTTCCTCAAAACTTCATAGGAGCAGATAGCAAGCCTTAAAATGCTATAAGAAATTGACAATATTTAAAGAGAATTTTGTTAAGTGTGAAAAACTAAAGATCTTCTAAACAGTTGAAGGGTAACAGGTTGCTGTATATTTACAGTTGTCTTTGCATCTCATAGCTAGTAGAATAATTCTAAAGTAAATTGAGTTTCACATTATACAATTACATAGTAGTAGATGCCTTTGGTGCCTCACAGAATATACCCTTAGTCGTCAGTTGGGGTGGACAGACACTGTGAGCTCAGAGGCCCCAGCCCTGGCAGAGTTTTACTTTAAATGTGTGTTGCTTTTTTTTCTACTTTCTGCAACACTGCTGGAGTCCACTGTGGATGTTCCCTTATTTAGGGCCTAAGTATAGACTAGAACAGCGGTTCTCAACCTGTGGGTCACTACCCCTTTGGGGGTCGAATGAACCTTTCACAGGGGTCGCTTAAGTCCATATATAATTACTGTTTTTGTGATTAATCACTATGCTTTCATTATGTTCAATTTGTAACAATGAAAATACATCCTGTATATCAGATATTTACATTTCGATTCATAACAGTAGCAAAATTACAGTTATGAAGTAGCAACGAAAATAATTTTATGGTTGGAGGTCACCACAACATGAGGAACTGTATTAAAGGGTCGTAGCATTAGGAAGGTTAAGAACCACTGGACTAGAAGTACAGTTGTTAACAGTTAATGGAGGATGGTGACTGATAGATAAATGTTCCAGCCTCGCATCCGGTAGGTGAACAATTCAGAAGCCGCCTAGATGCTTCTCTGTTGCCCATACAGCAACCTCAGTAATACACTCTGGTATTAGCATTTTTTTCCTTTCTTGTCTTGTTCTTCCACTCCCTCACTCCTGTTTCCATATAAACTACTTGTACTTAGGTCTTTCTCTTAAGTTGTACTTCCTATAGAGTCTAAATTATTAAAGCCAGAAATAGTGTTATAAACCATCATAGATAGGTTTATTAAAATATCATTAATCAAAATATTTATTTCGAAAACTTAACTTCCTATAGTTTTGTACTGACACTGGTATATAACTACATCTGAAAGATGTTGCAAAACTGAGGAGGACTTTGAGTATTTAGAAAAATTTTGTTTGCCTACTTGTTTTTAGTGGGAAATTATTACCAATCTGCTACTTAACAAATTGAGAGCCCTGTCACTACACAAATATTAGATTAGTGATTAATGAAAATTTTGTTGTGTAAGAACAATACCCCCCAAAGGGAAAACTTTTGGGTTTAAAATCAGTGTTCAGGCCAAGGCTGAGACTGATGCTTACCTGACTGTGTATGTGAGGGTATGTTTGTACGCTACTATTTTTCTTGATTTGTTCAAATAAGAAGGCTATTAGTTTGGTTTTCAACTCAGTACTTTTTGAACTCTACGCTTAAAATAACCAATCTTTTTTCAAATTTTGAATAGATAAGTGTTGTTATAGGTGAACTATAAAATTTAAGTTTATTCTGTCACCAAACAATTGCCTACATTTGAACGTGAGGCAAGAGAACTTAAATCTTTATGTCTAAGGACATTGAATGAAGCCACCTTGATAATTTTTGTTTACTCTTTTGCTTGAGGAAGAAAATGTATATTCTTAGAAAAGTCAGATTTAGAAAATTATGTTAAGGTCATTTATTTAGCCATAGCATTCTCAATCTCTTTATAAGAACTCACATTGATATTTCAGATTTCATATTAAGTGTGATGACTGATTTAATTTTTTTAAAAAGATAATTGCTGGAAATAATACAGTGCCCAGGTAATGTACCCAGTTTATAATTTTTATTCAGAACATTTCATAAAGACTCCAAACTTGGGAGAGGCTTTCAAGGTAGTTTCTTTAGTAACATTTTTGCCCTAGGATTACAAAAGTACAGTATACCTAAAGCAAGTCCAAATGTATAAATAAAATTACTTAACTTGCTTGCTAACTTATATGGCCCTCTCATCCATCACCCCCTTTTCAGTACAGGGAACTGATAAATATGTAGAGACCCAAAAGTATAGTTAACTTAATTTATTTTTTTTTCCTTATTTTTAGTGGGAGATTTTGATAAGATCTGGCGAGAACATTGCGAGGATGAGGAAACACTTTGTGAATATGCTGTTGCAATGAAAAATTTGGCAGATAATCATTGGGCGAAAAGTTGTGAAGGTGAAGGACGTATTGAATGGTGTTGTAGGTGAGTGTTTTTATGAACTAACATGTTTGGTTTCTAATGTATTGTTGACATGCTCCAATTTAAATAATGCTATGCATAATTTATTAGACCAAAATAAAGTGTTTGAAAACAGTTGATGTCTTTTAAACAACTTCTTGCCCTTTGTTTCACTTCCTGTAGATTTCATTCATCTTTTTAAATCAAAATATTTTTCTTTTTTTAAAAAAATATATTTTATTAATTTTTTACAGAGAGGAAAGGAGAGAGATAGAGAGTTAGAAACATCGATGAGAGAGAAGCATTGACCAGCTGCCTCCTGCACACTCCCCACTGGGGATGTGCCCGCAACCCAGGTACACGCCCCTGACCGGAATCGAACCTGGGACCTTTCAGTCCGCAGGCCGACGTTCTATCCACTGAGCCAAACCGGTTTCGGCCAAAATATTTTTCTTTAACATTACTTTAAATTTTCTGCTTCAGCTTTTTAAAAGAATAGCTTTAAAAGGGCATTTAACATTAATATGATAAAATATGAAGTTTAACATGATTTATCATTAATAAGTTATAGTATAGAAATTTCTTTAGATAAATATACACAGTTGGATTCAAGTAAAAGTGAGTACTTTTCTATAATTTAAAATTTGAAGACATTTTAAAATCCTGATTTTTTTGTGTGTGTGTGATTCAGGGTATTCCAACTTTTATATTGACTTTGGATAATGTTTATTTTCTCATAGTATAGATTCTAATGTTTAAAACATCAGAAAGTGCAATACTGATGATCAGCTCTCTCAAAAGTTGATAAAATTATAGGAATGAGTATGTATATTGACTGAATTTTAAAATGAATTCCTAGAAAACAAAACATTATCTTTCTACATGGACAATAAGTTTGTGATAATTTCAGGTTTGTATTTTATATGTAATTATTTTTTATTAAAAATTTCAATGTTAATCTCATTTAAAAATTATGTAATAGTGTCATTCATTCAACAAATGATCTAGAGAAAAAGATGTATTTAAATTAGTTATTTTATTTATTCATTTAATAAGTAATGTATAGTGTTGTCTGCTGTCTATTAGTCATATCATAGACACTGGGAGTACAACAATCAACCAAACAGGCAAAATCCTTGCTCTCATGGAGTTTATATGCTAGTGGGGATTAGAGGCAAGAAATAATACATAAATTAAATATGTAATAGGTCAGAGATGGTAAGTGCAATGAGAAAAATAAAGTAAGGAAAAATAAAATAGTTTTAAGTAGGGTAGACAAAGAAGGCCTCACTGAAATAATGTGTGTAAAAGACCTGAAGGAAGTGGGAGAACAAGCTCTAATAATTCCAAAGGCCTTGAGGCAGGAGCATGCTGGCATGTTTCAGAAACAGCAAGGAGACCACCAGGATGGCTAGAGCAGAATGAGAGGGGGGAAATGGTAGAAAATAAGATAATGAACAGCTAGTTTTTGTAGGGGCTTGTGGACTGTTGTGAAGATATTGGCTTTTATTCTGCATGAGATGAGAAGTCATTGGATGTTTTAAGAAGAGGAGTGATAGGATTTTTTTAGCCTTTTGAAATATCATTAATTCTTAAGAATTAATTACTCTGTTAAGGTAGACCTATAGGAAGGGCAGAGTGTAAGTAAGGAAACCAATTTGGAGGCTACTGTAATAATCAAGGCACAAAGTTATAGTGAAACAGTTTTTCTTGGAGGGTGAGGAAGTGAATGGATAGGACGGTGTAATTGGATTAATGCTCAAATGATTATAATGACTTAAGGGAGTGACAAGTGAGATGAAAGTGTACACATTGTGGTGGTATGACAATGTGTAAGAAGAAAGTTGAATGTGAGGTGGGTAAGGAGCAATGAATTAAATAGGTGGTACCCTTAATGAGTTCTGGAATTAAAGAACTGTGGAGTTGGGAAACTATAGGAAGGAATCAGAATAATAGGAAATAGGGTACTTGGAATTGAAATGGGTTTTTTGGGGGTGGTGTTTGGTTCTGAGAGAAAATGGTTATAAATCTGACTTTTCTAAGAATACACATTTTCTTCCTCAACCTAAGAAATACAAAATCAGGTGTATTGCTAAACTAAATATTTCCCTTCTAACACAGAAGAATAATGTGATCCAATCAGGAAATCAGCACCATCACTACTTGAGATCATTATTCTTGGCATTTAGCAACACTGCTTTTATATTAGTACTGCAGCCCGGCAGGTGTGGCTCAGTGGTTGAGTGTCGACCTATGAACCAAGAGGTCACAGTTTGTTTCTGTCAGGACCCCTGTCTGGGTAGCGGGCATGCAGGAGGCAGCTGACTGACGATCGTCTCTTATCACTCATGTTTCTATCTCTTTCTCCCTCTCCCTTCCACACTGAACTCAATAAAAATATATTAAAAAATAAATTAGTATTACAGTACATAAGGTAAGTTCTCAGACTTTATTTTTTAAATGGGCTTTGATATTCTTATAGGAGTACTTGTTTGTACCTTCTACGTGAATAATGAATCTGCCTCCCACTTCACTCTTCTTTTTCCTTAGATATATGTTTTTATCAATAGTTATTGTATCTACGTATGTTCTGAAAGAGTTTATTTTAGGTCAAACTTCTAAAAAAGAACAGTAATAAGAATTTAGCTTAAACTGTTGAAAAAGAACTGTAGGTGGCAAAATACGATAAAAGATTTTACTATGGTAAGTTGTCCCAAGAGGAGTTTTATAACGTCTACTTTAAACTTAAAAGTAGGTTGGGAAAAGCCTTCAAAACAATATTGAAACTTGAATTCTCTGTAGTTAGTTATAACTTGCATTATTTATACTTCCTTTCTCTGTTGACAGTTCTCAGGCAGCAATGTCACTTTGAAAGCTAAAATGGGCTTTAAAAAAGGGTGTAACAAGTTTGTTTCCAGTTAGTTGTACTTAAAACTGTATTGGAATTTAGCATGCGAGTTAAATCTTAATGACATTACCCTGCTAAGATTTTGCTGACCGGTTAGGTTGAAGAATTCTACATAAGATTTCTTTAAAAAAATAATAAAATTTTATTTGTAATATGATGTATTAAATACTAGACACTAAATACAATATAGGGGGTAGGGGAGGCTGGGGGAAGGTCAATTGGAAAAAAAAGGAAAAATAAAATAAATACAATATAAAGTTATAGTTGTAACTTAATTTTAAAAATTTGCCTTTTGTAACTCTTAACATAGAAACATACACTATTTCCTGGGCCATTTGAAAGTAAACAGCAGGTAACATTTCAACCTAACACATTTCCTAAGAATAAGGACATTCTTCTACAAAACCATAATACTATAATTACATTAAGAACAACAGTAATTTCCTAAAATACCTATTTCATAAATTTAGATTTTTCTCATTGTCCCCAAAATGTACTTCATAATTTGTTTTTCTAAATCCAGTCAGGACCCCTGCATTGCATTTGATGATTACGTTTCTTCAGCTTTAATGTTTTTGTTTTGCATTAACATTAAGTTTTTAGAGAAATGTTAGTTATTTGTAAAATAGCTTATAGTCTGTAGTTTATAATTGTTGGTTCAAGGTGGTAAATAGCATTGTTCAAATATTCTATATTTCCTCACTATTTTTTTTTTTGGCTTTTCTTTCTTTTAATTACCAAGAGATGTTTTCAATATACTATTTTTCTCAATTTTTCTATGATAATTATTTGGCTCTTTAGAGATTTCATTTTTCTATTGAAGTTCTCCATATTTTTCTATTTAGTTAATATTTTTCTCTATTAAAAAATTAAAGCAGTTATTTTACAGTCTTTGTCTTCCTATTCCAACGTATAGTTTACTTGTAGGTCTGTTTCTTTTGGCTGTTTTTTCTGTCATGTTTATCTGCTTAACTTATTACTGGTAATTAAAAAAAATACATATACTAGCATTGTATTTAGAAGAGACTGGTGTAAATATTATTTTTCCCAGAGAAGGCATGCTTTTTTCTGACAGACAGCCAGGATGAGAAACAGAACAGTTTGATTCCATCAGATGTTAAGCTGGATTGAAGGTAGGTTACCTCTTTAGATAGTTTGTTCACCTCTGGCATCAAATGCTTTGAGGATGTATATTAAAAGTGCCAGCCTGGAACCCCTCGGGGATGTCAACCTGCTAGTTTAGGCCCACTCCCTGGGGGATCAGGCCTAAGCTGGCAGTCAGACATTCCTCTGGCAGCCCGGGAGCCCTAGGGGGATGTCCACTTGCCAGAGGGGAGCAGGTCTAAGCTGCAGTTAGACATCCTTAGTGCTGCTGAGGAGGCAGGAGAGGCTCCCGCCACCACCGCTGTGCTGACAGCCATCAGCCTAGCTTGTGGCTGAGCAGAGCTCCACCTATGGGAGCACACTGACCACCAGGGGGCAGCTCCTGCATTTAGCGTCTGCCCTCTGGGGGTCAGTGTGTGTCATAGTGACCAGTCATTCCCAGTCATTCTGCTGTTAGGGTCAATTTTTATATTACCCTTTTATTATATAGGATATTTAAATGCCATTTAACAAAGAAAAATCTACCAAAAAAATGAGTTCACGTGTCACCTCTGACACGCATGTCATAGGTTTGTCATCACTGCTCTAGTAGGACTCAGACCAAGGAAGAATGCACAATTTTCTCTACTTTTTAGTTCCACTCCAAGACTCCAGTGCTATTCTGCTGCCTTTATGTACTCAAAAAGCTATGGAGGTAAGCAGGAGAATGGCGAGAACAATCTCTGCATTTGGTCTTCTTAAGGATTCTGTCACACCATTTTAAGCAGCCATTAAAAGCTCGGCTGTTTTCTGTTTAATACAACTGAGTATCGCTCTCATGGAATGCTTGATCCTCTGCCACCCATGCACAAATGCCCAAGTGCCTGTGATCCCTTCCCATCTAGGAAAGGCTTGTGTCCCTGAATTTAGTTCCCTTAGGCCTCTTTGCATCCTCAGTTCTCTCAATCTCTTTTCAATGTATTGTTTTTTAGATCATATATATATATATTGATTTCAGAGAGGAAGGGAGAGG